TAATCAATGGAGAATAGAGGAAATTCATGAAACCAAGCCCTCAAATTGTATTAAAAGGTCATCATATTCAAAACTAGCTGAATAGCTGAATAGCTGAATAGGTAAAATCGCGTGGAATCTCTTGACCCAAATTTAATTAAAAATTCATTTAAATGTTATAGAATACCTGTTGTAGAACATTTATAATTTTAGCATACTAGATCTAATTTTCGATATACTTAGTATTTTTAATTGCAATAGTTTAAAATAAAAATTTTTGGAAAAATAAATTATCTACGGCAAAAATGATATTCGAAAGGCGGTAATTACTATAAAGGGTATCTTATAGATAGCAAGCCCGGATGTTTTACCAGTTAATCATTAACTTTAAACCCATTAATTTTATTATGTGACCAGAATTGTTAGAATTTTTGGTTTAAAAAAATGATGTGATAATAAAACGTGGGCATCAGGTTCGATCATTTAGTGAAAAATAAAAAAAAAAATATTATATATACCGGAAAGGAAAGGAGGCTTTAAGTGGATATGCAAGGTAATTGATAAAAAAAGATTCTCATATGCTAAATGGTGGAGGTATGAAGTAATATGACTATAAAAAGGTGAACCGTAAATAGAAATCATTTCTAACAATGAAAAAATCAGTTGTGGCATTTTTATTTTTTAAAAAATTCTAAAGAATGGATTAACCATCTAAACATCAAACATCTAACATCTAACCGTAATGTACAAATGATTTTGAACGTAATCATTTTCTACTCGACGGACGCGTAATCGGCCATCTCTAGCCAATAATAAATTTTCCGACAAAAACGTGAGATTATCCGGAAAAGCAAATCATGATCCAACAACAATACTTGTGTTGTAAAATAAAGAAAACTGTAAAGCGATTTTTGTTTACAAAGAGATATTGATTGAAGTATCAAATTTATCATATATAATAAGAAAAGTTTAACCTAAAAGTAGAGTTTTTGAAAGGAAACTTCAAAAAAATTTGTTCTTATGTTACAGGGCTCCTTATCACTGAATGAAACCGGAATTCCTCTTGTTTGTGTAACAAATTGGCTAATTTTAAGTTTTATTTCTTTTTTTAACAATATACTTTACATGAAGAGCATAGTTTTTGAGTAAATATATTGAATAATCCAACAAATTGAATGTCATAGCAGAATAATAGCGGCATTTGTTTTTAATTTAAAATTAATTTTTATTTACAGAGAAATTAAACTTTATATTTTATTTACTATGTTTTCTAATTAATTAAAAACAAAAGAACATAAAAAAAATTTCTTTCAAAATTTTAAAAACAATTTTTTTTATCGGTGTTCGAAAAAAAATATTTTTTTTTTTAACCAATCAGCTTACTTATCAATCTATCAATTGGAGTGTTTGAGAACGCACTTAAATATTCTAACTTATGTTCCATTCCTTGTTTATAAAGGTCGAAGGTCGAATTAATTGTATTTAACGTGAAATTGATTTTAGCGGAAGTGAAGTATGAAGCGGATTATTGACATACATCTTTAAAGAAAGAATATCAACGAAGCATATCGATGCTATCTCTGATCCATGCCCAATATGCTTCAATTATATATTGATAAACTTTTGGTGAAAATATGAGGGATTTCCTTCTTAATTCAAAGTCTATATCTTCGACATATTCATCTTTAAATTTTTGTACAACAATCTGTCTTACAATTTGCTCGTGACATACGCACTTTGATTTTAGGAAATTTAAAATGATTTTTTGAGACTCTTTGATGGCTCAAAAACCTCTTTAAAAAGACCGGAAAGAAATGAAAAATTAAATTCACCGCTTCGAATAGTGTTGAAAACATTCCAGAAGATATCGCCGTAAATAGCCAACTTATTTTTGAACATCTGTAAGGCGTCTACTATGGATTTATCGTCGAGCTTAAACACTAATTCGATAAGCTTGGTAAGGCGGAATTTTACATCGTCGGCAGTAGGGCAAAGCCATCCAGATAGTGGGGATGGAGGAAATAGGATTAGTAATGCTCCCGATATGACATGATTATTGGTATCACTACATATCTCAGTGTACTTCCATAATTAAACCAATTTTGCGTCAAGCAATATTGCTCTCTCAATTACGTTGAGCTGTCTATTATTTTAAAGCCATCTTTTGGTGGTTATTCTTCCGAAATCATCAAATTGTTGTGAGGGTCAATGTCGTAACTTAATTGAAGTTTTACTCGGCCTTGGGGAAAATGGGACGAAATTATTCTTTAAGATCAAAATTTTTATGGTGACGTAATTACTTTTCAACTATTGGGATGCACAAGTGTACCCGCTGAAATAAAATGGAATAATTCCAATTTCGTTCCCTTGACTGGTAGTATTTTGGAAAATCTAGCTTCTCCTTCTTGTAAGATGATGCTAAACGTGCTCAAAGGCAAATCGTTTGCCCATGGATTACTTATTTTTTTTTGATCCAAGCGTGCTTTGTTTGTTTCGGATGGTATTACATTGTATTTGAGTTTCATTTCGGTCAATGCTGGATCTTGTCTTCCATAATGCGTTAATACTCTTTGAACCAAATATCTTGAAAAACGACATTTCTTGATATTAAGGTTTGACAAACGTTCTCATTTATAAAAGTTGGGCTCAACCTAATTCCGTGAAATGATACATGGGTCTTTCCGAAACGATGTAATAACCACTCGGTTTTGGCGTAGGGATCTTTTGCAATGTAATTCCATACCTTGCAGGTTAATGACAAATTTAACGGCGTATCGACATAATTAAAAATATTTATTTTAATTTCGCTCACAAGATAGAGAAGCGTGGATTTTTCTAAAGAATAGGTAAATCTTGACATTTTTATTATTATTATGTTTATTTTTTTGAATTTTAAATATTATTTTGTCAATAGAAAATCACCGAATGATGAAAAGGAATAACTGATAAAAGGTAAGAATTATAGGATTCTGACAAGGTGATTCTAATTCATTTATATATTAAAAAAAAAATCAAACGGTCGTAACGTCATACACCGTTAATGAACCAATAAATGAAACTGTATGAGAAACTTCATTCATTCATTTCTAAAAAAAAAAAAAAAAATTCTTCAAACAAAGGAAAGGGAATTCCGGTTTCATTCTGTGATAAGGAGTCTTGCTACATGAGAAAAAAAAACTTTGCATTTTACTTTCAAAACTTACGCTTTAGGTTAAACTTTTCTTATTATATATGATATATTTGGTACTTCTCTTTGTAAACAATTAGAACCGGTGATGGTTTTCATTATTCTAAAAAGTTGACTACCCAATGTTATTCTGTAACACATCTCTTAATATTCTTGGATCAAAAAACATCATGAGTCGTAATCTCGTTTAATGATCACTTTGTTGGTCTCTATTTAAAGTATTATGTTGGCATTTTCTCACGTTTTTGTCGGAAAATTTATTATTGGCTAGAGATGAGGTGAACCAACCGAGTACGATATATGATTATTCGTTTAAAATTTTTTTTAAAAAGAAATAGAGCCTTTGATATGTGGTTAGAAAATAATTTCTAATTACGGTTAGGTAATTTGCTTTGTAGGATCACCTTTTTTAGTCATATTGCATCATGCGTTTTAATGCTTTTGTTCACTCATTTAGTTTGTGAGAATTTTTTTTTTATCTTGCATATTTCTTTGTAAACTCTTCACTTGTATCTATAAAAATCAAGCATTATTGAAGTGTACATCATTCTGCTTACTCTTATCTTGAAGAATTTTGAATCGTGGTTAAAATAAATCAAATATAAATAAATGATTAATAATAATATTTGATTTCCTTTCATTCCTTTCCCTTTCGGTAAATATTAAAAACCGTATGTTCTTTTATTTTATTTTTTATTTTATATTACAAAAAAAAATAAAATCGGCGCCTACTAATATGGAGATGATCGAAGCTGATGCACATGCAACATTATCGTCTTATTACATATTGTTTCATATTATCTACCTAATATTAAAGTTATTTAAAATAAACTTGAATAGAATTTGGTTTTAGTTCCATTAACAAATTTATTTTGGTACTATAATATTTTTTAAAATTTGATTTTTATTGCATTAGAATAAAATGTAATAAGATCTTGATTTTAGTCAAAAAAATTTTCAGAGCCTGATTTCCTAGCAAACTTCCCATATAGTTAGATTTTTTATAAACATTAAATAGTTATAACCCTATTTTTTAGGTAAAGGCGCAGCATGTCAGGTAAAACTAACGATATGCATGTAACTGTAAGAATGATGAAGGAACAATGGACTTTATAATTAATCTTATAAGTATTACCTTTTTTGGTAAAAAATTGATATTACAATACGTACCTTTGACAACGACTCTTATTTAGGAATTCTATTCAAGCATTTACATACATATTATTTACCCCAATATTTTTGATGGTTATAATAAGCGTTTCAACTTAATAGGAAGACAACTTTTTTTTTTTTGCTCATCTATTTGCGTTTTCCATTCGTTATAAAAAAATTTTCTGCTAATCAAAACAAACTCAACTGTAAAAAAAAAAGATTTTTTTTTATTTTTTTAAATTTAAAAATAATTTGCTACCCTGGACAACGTTTCATTATCTAAATTCATCATATCGTTCTTTATACCAATGGGAGGGATGCTATTAAAATCGAGTTACGAGCATAGTAAATCATATGATCCGTAACGTGATTTTAATAGCAAACCAAACCTCCCAAATATTTGTGTAAAAAAAAATATATTATGGAATTAAAAAAAAAGAGGGGTTGCATATATTGAACTAAAAAAAAAAGAGCTGATCTTGGCAACTTGCAGTTGCATGTCATGTGGACATAAATGAATTTCAAAAATGGAAACAACTATACTATCAACTAAGTTGTAAACTAACCATTTTATCTTAGAGATCATCGTGACTCGAAAAATTAATTGAGATTATAAATATAGATTAAAAAAAATATCATTGATCTATAACATATTTACACAGTGGTTCATTAATAAAAAATCATGCTTGAAAACGTTATCAGACCTAAATTCCCACCCACCTTAACAACGGACGTTATCCTCGAAAGATTACGTAAGTCCAACAAACCTACCGCAAACATAAACTCTTTTATTGCTTATAGAATGGAATTACAAGACGAATATCATCGTAACAACAAAAAATTACGGTTGCCCATCATGTCCTCGATCGCAAGTGTTTCTTGGAAAAGAGAACCTCCACAAATAAAAGCCTTTTATAAACAACTAGCAGATGATGCTAAATCTCTGTATAAACCAAAATATTTACCCGTCGTAGAGTATAAACATAAAGAGAAGATTGAAAATGATCAAGAAAGCGGAAGAGTTTTACCTACAGGTGTAATTTGTGACGCAGACTCTGATGATGTCGATCAAACCGTTGTGGATCAGAATTCGACTAGTGGTCTTCTTATTGAAGGTTCTCCCAAATTTTATGAACATTCAGGGACGAGGTCAGCTGAAACGAGTTCTACTGCTGATCCTAATTATAACGAAATGAATTTAATCGCTAGCTATCAAAGGCATATTTGTTTGTTGGAACAAATGAATAAAAATTTGTTTGATTTACTTAAATCGACACAACTTTAATTTAAAATACATTATATATTTATATGTATGGACAGATCTTTAAATTTGTTATTACTTAAGATACAAAAAACCTGTCAAATTTTATTTCCAAATAATACACCTTCACCATTATTTCACTTTTATTATTTCAATTTTGTTTCTTATTAATAACAGTCATTTGCTCAGTCAAATTATGAAATTTCATCTCGACAAATTTAACAAATAATTTTACGCAGCGATTTATTTATTATAATGGTTAATTAATTATGTATTTATTTGTTATTAAATAAAAGGGGCGAAATTTTCTTGTAATTTTTTTATAAAATTTAGATCTCCCAAATTATTAGTGAAATAAATAAAACATCACCAGTTGGGGTGAGCGGTCAACTAATTAAATCAAAACTATATATGGACCCCTATAAAATTTACTATTGAAATTTTTTTTCATGTATAAATAACGATAAATGTCGATCCCATTATATTTTCCGAATGTTAAAAATTTTAACTTATAACGTATATACATGTACATTATTTATTTATTACCTAATAAACAATTAAAAAGATGTGATGCAATTTCTTCTCCAAATGATGGTGATTGCTTATCTTGAAGCGGAATTTGTTTTTCTTTTTCTCTTCTTTGAACACGAATTTCTTTAAGACCTGCAGATAAATCCTCTTTTTCAATCTTACCCGAGGCTAATCGAAGTTTTGATTGTTTAAGAAATAATGACATATTCGCATGAGTTTTTAAATCTAATTTATTGAAAAGTCCTTCGACCTGTTGCTGATGGATAATAATAAAATAAATATGTGTTGTAACGAAATTGTAGAGATGAGGAAATTTATATAGTATAGGATTATCGGCGTTGCAAAATTCTTCAAATTCATCATCAAATTCTTTATTATCCAATACCATTTCTTTTAAACCGAAACTATCATTAATTCCACAATTAATATCATTTTCTAGGTCTTTTGCAAACCTTAATTCCACTATCTGTAGGCGTTTTATTCCAGTCTCTTTTTAAAATTATAAAACGAAAACTATTGGCGAATGAATGTGCAAAGTCTCCACCTAGATGGCAAATTACTAAAGGTAAATGAAGCCATGAATTAAATCATTTTTCAAAATATTCATAGGCTTTATTCATTCCACTTTCCAAATTATTAAAATACTTAAGAAAAGCTTTCCATTCAAAAACTTTCTTTAGCATTTCATGTGCTCGTCTTCCAGGAGGTAATTGAACCAACTTTTCATTTTATATAATTCGTAAATTAGGATTCCTACCCATTATAAATTGTACCAATGGTTCATAAAAATGCTCAGCGAAATTTACTAAGCATTTTATTTGAATGTTAATTAGTGGATTAGATAACCATGATTCAAAAAGACGCCAATCATTTAAATATGCCTTTGGTGTATTATGATGATTTTCCAATTGAATTATAAACCAACGAGCAAATGAAATGTGAGTTTCACGTCAATTTAAGTATTGTTTAGCTGTTTTTAATTCATAGCCCCATCGAGAATGAAGTGAAAGCTAATACTGGTTATAATGAAATCCTATTAATCCATCATATAAATCCTTAATTATTGATGCATTAATATTTAGAGGTTTGTCTTTATCGCTAGAATTGTAGCCATCATGTAAATGCAAAGACAGATATAAAAGATTATATGGATGCAATTTTCATGAAAAACCAGTAGTAATTTTGCCAAATGCTTCTTGTTCAAAATGATTAAGAACAATTTGCATAATATGAAGGCTACAACTAATTTGAAAGGCACTTGTACCAGTTTTTTTATTAAAAAGAGAAACAGCACCATTTTATTACTTGACATATAGGTTGTATTATTAGTAATCCATAAGATGCATTTAGCAATATCAAGACCATCCTCTTGAATTGATTGAATAACCAGATTAGAAACTGTCTCACTATTGCATCTTGAAATATTTTTAAAACTTGACATAGTAACAATTGGAGTTTGTTCTTTTTTATTCCACACTTGATAGCAAAGAACAAAATTTTTAATCTCATTACGAGTAGATTCATCAACTATGATTCCAAATAATGGTACATTTCCAATTTGAGAAACTTTATGCTATATGTGTAATGTTGAAGTTGATAACTAATTTTGTGGAGGTTCTCCAGTTAAAAATTCATAAATTAACTTTGTGCATTCAACTGTAAAATGCATTAATATTTCTCCAGTTTGTGTAATACTAGATGCAAGCCAAATTGCATTAGAAGTATATTGTCATTTATTGATCATAAAAAGAAATTGAATCTTATCTTTAAATACAGCATCTGATATTTTTAAAGATTTTTGAACTAGAAAGTAAATTTCTGATATACTGTAATTTTTAATTATGCAAATGTTCTACTTGAGCTTCAAGTAATTTTGTCCTTCTAATCAACTTATTTGTTTGATTATAAAGCCTTTTATTTCTAATTCTAGTCGATTAATTTTATCTTTTAAAAATTCATTTTCTTGATAATGTTTATAAAAATTATTAGCAATAGTATCATATACTTTGTCTTAAAGATATGGTGATAGAATTTTTCCTGCATTTAAACTGCCTTCTGGATAGCACATAGTAGCAATAAGGTGATTGGCTGCTAAAACCTCTTTATCAAACAATTGTTAAACTGCAGCTATTAATTTATTTCACTGTCTATTAACTTAGTTTATCTCATCATTATTTTTCTTTTCTTTTAATTTTTGGGCTTGAATTTCATGTGCACTTTTCAACTGATGAACGTATTTTTAAATCAGAGGTATTTCCATTAAAAAATTTGAAATCTTAAAAATTTGATAACTTTGCATTCAATTAGTATTCAAAGAATATAAAAAGTTAAATTAATACAGAATAACTTATAATATAATATAATACTTTGCTTTTTTAAAAAAAAACAATAATTACTTAGTGAGGTATGACTTAAACAATGCTTTTATTATTTTTGAAGTATAAATGATTTTTTTTAAAAAAACGAGCTTTTACATGAAAAAGATAGTAATTCTAAATGTTTTTGAAAAATTTAAAATGTAAAAAATGGGAAAAGTTCAAAGTTATAGAAGTTTAAAATTACATCGATTTAATAAGAAATTTATTATAGGACTATATTTTAAATATACTTCAATATAAAAAATTTGAATATTAAATTTTATGTGGGTCTATACATAGTTTTAATTTAATTAGTTGACTGCTCACCACAATCACCAGTATCATGCTAATGATAAATCATCTACATTACAGAAATATGTCAAACTGTGACCAAGTTGTGACCAATTTGTGAAGAGTTAATTATGTGTTTGTCATGTGTTTGTCTCAGATTAATCATGACTTTGTCATAGTTTTAGTTACCAGATATTAAAGTGATATTCAATAAATCGATATATCATTAATAATAGTTTATGTAATAGATCGTAATGTTATTATAATTAATCATGCAATAATAATTTAATAAATTATTTATCATCATAATGGATTATGCAATTATACTTTAATAGATTATTATTAAATTGTAGACTATTCTTGATCGCACTTAGAATAAATCTTAATGATGTCATAATAAAACTGTAGACATATGTAGAATAAATCTTAATTACATTATAATAACATTTATAACATATATAATAAATCATAATAATGTATTATTCATGTATAAACTAGGTATTAAATAGTATAATTCTAAATTATTATCAATTTATTTGCTTGTAATAATTATTTGTAAGTATAAAATTAATATATTATAAATAAAATAAAGTATACTATACATATTTAAACAATATTGAAGAAATAAATATTTTATATATACATTCTGTTTTCAAGATTGTGACCATCAATGTATTAATTACTATTATAATAATGAATAAAATACGTAGTACTTGTTCAGATTATACTTATAGGAAAGATATGTCATTGCCTATTTATAGTCTAAAACCTAAATACAGGACATTTCAGCCATGTTCAATTGGTAATTTTGAATTCATCAACAGTAACAAAAGTGAACTGTTGGTTGTTATATTGATGGCTAAAAATTGATTGGACAATTAGTAGGGCAAATTTGGGGGTTCTGGGGTCAAAATCGAAAAAAAATATCCAGAAAGATCCCAATCATAGGCCAGAAGCTCTTCTAGCTA